TGGCAAGATCTTGCTTACAATATTTTGTACTAGGGTACATTTGAATAAAGATCATGTTCATTTGAGTAATTTACAAGTTGGAGTAATAATTCTTCTGTTTCATTACCAATATTACCATCTTTATTAATTGATGATGGTAGTGGAGATTATGTTTTGGCGGGAATCAGACTTTTTGTTTGTACACCACCTATTGAAGCACTGATTTCTGATGATTCGTTTTCGAATATCATTTGTTGACTCATAATTAAAAATCTGGAAAAAAAAAGAAAACATTGAGCGCTACATAATCAAATTTAGTGAATATAAGACCAGTCAATAGCTACGATTGATTATTCTAGGGAAAGTAGGAGTCACTCAAAGATTATGTAATTTTTGTAAATTTCTTGATTGCAGCCCAATGGATGGAGAGGTGGAGATAAGTTACATTCACTTTTAAGTATTGTGTGTGAATGTAACTTATATTTGTTAATTTACGCCAATCAAATTGTATTCCATGTTATATCGGTCCTCTCAGTATCAGTGATGTCTGGCCATCCGTGTTATACTGACTTTCAAAATACCACTGAAAGTTTTACTTAACAATATCAAACTTCATGAACTTTTATAACAGCTCAAACTCTTTTTATTTTATTTCCTAGTGAAATCATTTCAAAAGTATCAAAGCATTACTTGCGAATAATTTATCGTTGATAATTTAAATCAGAATGAATGTGAAAAAGTATATTTCTTCTCAATATTATCTATAACTACATCGCTTTAGGTTTTTAATCATTTATTAACTCCTTGTGTTGATATGATCAATCGAAATCGAAATAGCAAAAAAGAAAGCAGAAAAGAGCAAGTTTAGAGTGAGTATTCACAAAATACAATGAATGATTTATAGATCGATGTGAATAATACTGAAGTTTTTTGTGCTCTTGTGTTTAAACTTAATTGCGTGAAATACTTAGTTAATCCTTAAATTGACGAGAAATAAAACGTAAATTAGGCAATGCACATTTTCGTTCAAAAGCATCTACAAAATATAACAATGATGACAAAAGCAAAGCAAAAAATATCTTTTTTTTATAATGTTTATTAAAAAACACAAAGAAAAAGCGTTTTCTTTTTGATTGTTTTAAAATTTTTATATGATCAATACTTTTAGATTAATAAAATAGAATGATTCAAAAGAGGACAATAACTTATTTTTTCAAAAAGCAATTTGAAAATTCTAATACTGTTAAAAATGAAGCAATTAAAGAGGTAAAATGATATTATAATAATATTTCCTGGCTTTATAGTCGTCCTAAAATCTTTCCCAAACGATGCAAATTCTTTCAAAAAGAGTCACATATGAAAAAAAAACTTGTTTGGTGCTGTACACATAACATTAGCATCTTGATATAAGTAGACTCACAACATTAATTGATGATAGTGATCAGCGAACAACTATTGAAAGTAACAGAACCGTTGATTAAAGTTCTTCTCTCTGGCAATTGACTCTTCAGCTGAAGACATAAGACTAAACTTATATTAGGGATAGCTAAACATATACAAAAAAAAGATTTTAATCTAATTCCTTTTAATCTGTTGAAGATATAACAATTGTAATATTCCGTGTAAGGTTTTCTGCAACGCCAATCCCATTTGATTATTTCAAGAGATGGAGTTAAGTTTTTTATTCGAAAGAAAACACTTACGACTAGTGACTTCAAATTAAATTTTCCTCATCAGAATTCGACTGTCTTTTTCATAAAATTTTGCCATATCAAAAGAAAAAAGACGCTCTAAAAACACTCTCCCAAATATCTTTTTTGAATTAAACAAATGTTTCTATTATTTAAAGCAATCAAATTGAACTCGAAACGTGGAGATTCCGAAATAGATACTAAAATTTTTTGTGGTTCATACAGACTTAAAGAAATAAATTTGGAGTTTCTTTTTCTATATGACAAGGTGCTGCTAATGTTCTAAAAAAACAACGAAATTAATTATATGTACTTAGCCAGAAATTAAATTTCGTATGAAACGAGACTTTAGGGTTACTACACCATATATTTATCCTAAAACCGATTTTTTTAGGAAAAGAAAAACTTAAGTTTATAAAAACAAAAAAAGATGTAACTATCGGAACAACTGAAGACTTCAATGAATTCATCGATAGATTTTAACAAGAGATCATTTTATCGTATTTTTTTTAATATTGTTACTTTTTTTTGATTGTGCAATCCTCAACTTGTCAGATATTAATATTCTTTACATAAATCAAGGAGCTAACTAACTGATTTCTATATTGGAAATCAATGGGTAGCACAGAAAATCTTCAGTAATAAGATGAAAAGTAAAGTTCTGATTTCCCTTTATTTCTAAGCATTTCCAATGATTCCTATGGATTCACAGTGAACGGATAAAAACTATTTTACATTCCTCTGTGTGTAAATCAGTTTACCAATAAGCCGAACAGATATTATTTTGTTTTAATTTCTAGAGGAGAAATTTTTTTATGTCAGCCCTTGTTACAATTCAAGAACATTATCGAATATAACACGCAATAGATAGTGGTTTACAGTCGTAGATGTTGTTGCAGACCTATTTTTTTTTTAAATATTAATACGTTCTTCATTCTCAGGAAAACAACACGAAAGTGACACTTCTAATCCTAGGTTAGTCCTTTTAGATTCCTCTATTGTCATAGAACGATGTTAAGAAGATAGAGTATTTCTTAATATTGAATTTATAAATATCAAGACAATGAATTAAGTTTACACCGGAACAAATTTTCTGAAAAGAAACTTTTTCTTTCTTTTGAAGTCTATGTTCAATCGTCAGCAAGCAAAATCAGTGTCGTCCGTATCGAAATCAAATTCAATTATTATTTCAACAAAAACTAAAGAAAAAGAATCTATCAAAGATAATTTATTATTAGAAAAAATGAAACTTGAAACTCAAAGAACACGTGGATTAGTTGTTAATATGGGTCTATCATGGTATAAAATATTTGAAAAAGAATTTTCAAAAGAATATTTTCAAAAAGTATTATCGAAAAAAAAGAAAAACACAATATATATTTCTATTTATTTTCAATAGTTAGCAAATTTTATTGCAGATCAACGAGAACAAGGCGTAGTTATTTATCCACCACCACATCATGTATTTACATTTACACGTATGTGTGAATTAAATCAAGTTAAAGTTGTTATACTAGGACAAGATCCATATCATGGACCTAATCAAGCGCATGGTCTAAGTTTTTCTGTACGAAAAAATATCCCAACACCACCGAGGTTTTGTAAATGATTTCTTTTTTTTTCTTTATGAATATAAATTATTTTATTTTCTAGTCTACAAAATATATTTAAAGAACTTAAAAGTGATATACCTGATTTTATAATTCCAAAACATGGAACATTATCTGGTTGGACAAGACAAGGTGTTTTATTACTAAATGCTTGTTTAACTGTTGAACAACAAAAAGCTAATTCTCATCAAAACAAAGGATGGGAAAAATTTACTGTATAACATTATTATTTAATCGATTTGGACAAAAAAAACACGCAACTTTTTCTTTAGGATACTATTATTCAATATCTTAATGATCAATCATCGAATATTGTTTTTCTACTTTGGGGTAAAGATGCTCAACATAAAGGAAGTCGAATTGATCAAGTAATATAATTAGAAATTTCTCCAAAGATATATGTATATATTTGTCATGTTTCATATATAGAAGCGTCATTATGTATTAAAAGCTGCTCATCCATCACCATTATCTGCTGCTAATGGTTTCTTTAATTGCAAAGTATATGAAAAGTTGAATTATATTTAATTACTAAGATGAATCTATTTATTGAAGCATTTTTCTAAAACAAATGGTTATCTTAAAGCTGCTGATCTTGATGAGATTGATTGGTCTCAATTACCATCTGAAGATGAATTACCATTTGATTAACTATCTATTAAATATATATTACTTTAGCAAATATCAAAAGTAGTGATGAAGATATTTTAATTACTTATAAAAAGCTTTAAGAAACTTTCTATCTATTTGATAGAACAAAAAACAAGTATATAAACAAGTTCATGAATTCTTTATTTCATTAAATGTTCGAAATAATCGTCCTAGTTATCAGAGATGGGACAAGTTCGGTTTGAAGAAAAAAGAAATGAACAGTCGGTTTCTACTTTTCAGCTATGTCCAGGCAGAACATCGGTCTAACATAGAGGTCTTGAACTCCCTCTACAAACTGATTAATCATGAGAGTTCATGTATATCACACCTTAATCGCCATTGTATTGGATGGATAATCCGAGACAAACAGCCATTAGTGACTTGCCCAGGGTTGAACACTGAACCTTCTGGACACATACTGAACAATTTAGCTACACTGTCATGACGGTCCCGGTTCGATTTCAGAAAAATACGAACTGATCTCATCTCTGCTAATTACTCACACTCAATTACATTCGTTGAATCCATTTGCCGAACGTTATTTTAAATACTTTTTTATTCAAAGAATTCATGGACTTGTTTATACCGCGATTCAAAATCGTTTTGATCACTTAAATTTTGTATAAGTCGTATAAACAAATCTCAGATAGTGACAGATCCAAAAAATTACATAAGTGAAAACTTATTGAACTTGTTTCTGTAGTTCTTTTTGGTTCTACCGACACCTACCTCGAAGACAAAATGTAATATGATACAGCCGTCAAATACCATAACAAACAGCTATTATCGAAATTTTAGTATTATGATGTTAGTTGAAGACTCATTCAGCATTTTTTCCAAATTTTTCTGTTTCGGAGGAACGATTAAAAACTCCAGAAGATTCTGCCAGATCTTCGGAGAGACGTCGTCTTCTCGATCCCTACACTGGAATGATCAAACATCAGAGAAATGTAGATCTCTACCATTGCGCTTGGTATGCCGAAAGCATTTCATTGTGAATAATAATTATCAGATGATATATATAAAACCTTTTTTTTTGAGAATAAAACGTGTTTTTTTTGTTTATTATTTATTTTATTCGATCACGCCATTCATCAGTTATCAATTCATCATATTGCTTTCTTAAATAAAGCAATAATTTATCAATATTCATTTTTTCTATTGTTGATATCGGTAATAATGGATATGGAATATATTGTCGTGTTTGATCAAGTTGAAGTTTAGCATCATGATCATCCATTTTATTTCCAATAACAGTAATCGGTTTTTTTGTCAAGTCCATTTTATATTCATGTAATTCGTTCATTAATAATTGATATTGTTCCCATGGACGTTCAACACTCATATCAATAATAAGAAGTAATGCTAAACATCGTTCAATATGACGTAAAAATTTACTTCCTAAACCTTGTTCTTGTTTACTAGCACCAGGTACAATACCAGGAATGTCAGCCACTGAAGAAAAACAGATAAAATTAAATTAACAAAAAAAAAATATTCCACCATGAATTTGTACGAAATCGTCATATTCGATTGAACCAAGTTGTGGCTGGCGTGTAGTAAATTCATAATCACCAACAATTGGTCGTGCTCGTGATATAGCACGTAAAAGACTACTTTTGCCAGCATTTGGAAAGCCAAGCTAAGAAAAAAAAAAGAAAATAATGAACATCAATAAAATAATAATTTATAAACGAATGAATATTTTACCAAACCAAAATGTGCTATAAGTTGAAGTTCAAGTTTATATTTTTTCTTATCACCATTAGCACCCAATTCACATTCAGTTGGTGCCCGATTCATATTTGATAAAAAATAATAATTACCTTTACCACCTATAGAAATTAAATCAAGCAAAAAAACACATCTCTTCAATATTGAGATTATTAGACTAACCTCTTAATCTCACCTAAACCTCCACGAGCAGCAATAAATTTCTGTTCATGTTTTCTTAATTCACAAGCAATATTTCCATTAATTTTCTTCACAATTGTACCTACGGGTACCTTTAAAACAAACATAGATATCATTGAAAAAACAAATTTCATTTACTTGAACAATAAGATGTTCAGCTGATTTGCCTTTTTTAAAATTTGCTTCACCTATTTCTCCATTATCAGCTTTATATAGGTTTTTAATACTATTTAATGATGTGATATGTTTCGATGCTAAAAGAAATTCAAAACTTATTATTTAAAGTTATTTTAGAACAAGACAGTGGGAAAAGGCTGCTAGGCATTATTTTTTTGGGATTTATTGAATTTATTTCTACTACTGAATATATCTGGACTAATTTGGTGATAATATGTATAACATGAGTTATAGAAATATTCCAATTATTCCCGAAAAAAAGAATTCCGGAAGTTATTAGATAGAATAGGGTGAGTATAAGACAATTTTTCTCAGTCATGGTACAGAGTACGAGAAAAGTTTACCTTGTATGTCTCTATTTATTAGGAAATAATTCGTAATACCTGAAAGTTGTTTTTTCTATTTATCTTTGTTTCGAATGTTCATTGCATATAACTATGAATAAAGTTTAGATACAACTCATAAGGAAATTCTCGCAGCAGATTAATATAAACCCTAATGAATTATGGATACATTGATAAGAGTTCGGATTCTTAGCTTATTTACGTGAAAATAAGTCATTATTATGGTATTTTTTAAGTTAATGCGGTGGTCCGCTTCAGAAAAATTGATTTTCGAATTTCAATTTGAAACTTTACACGGAGACAAGTCTTAATAAGAGTAATACATTGTGAAAGTTTCAGTTCTTTTTATTGTTCTTATTATAACATATATCTATGTTAAAAGCGTGTCTTTTACATGGCTAATAGAAACTGGCAGACTCAATGTTTTTATTTCAAGATACGAGCAAATTGAAAAACCTGGAACTTTCAGAATAAACTATTCTGATGAAGGTCTGCCTCTATGCAAAGTTTTAAAGCAAAATTCGAAAATTAGTTTTCCTGAGGGAAAGACGGCATTGAGTTAAACAATGTCGTAAAAATGCAACATTGTGACATCAATAAGCTAAGGATTTTAATTCTTTTNAATAGAAACTGGCAGACTCAATGTTTTTATTTCAAGATACGAGCAAATTGAAAAACTTGGAACTTTCAGAATAAACTATTCTGATGAAGGTCTGCCTCTGTGCAAAGTTTTAAAGCAAAATTCGAAAATTAGTTTTCCTGAGGGAAAGACGGCATTGAGTTAAACAATGTCGTAAAAATGCAACATTGTGACATCAATAAGCTAAGGATTTTAATTCTTTTCAGAGTATTCGTAGTTCATGGAGATCTATACGATGCGCATAGGTCGGAGGCTTCCCTCGTAAGAACATTATCGAAACTTTTAAACTTGTTTTAAATTCACGGCCTTCATCGAATGATCTACCGTAAAACCTACTGTTCCTATATCGCACCAAAATCTCATTTTGTCTTATAAAAATGATCAAAAACTAATAATATATTTCCATTTAATAATATGTGATTAACTTCAACATCTTTAGCGAGACATCGATCGATTTCTAATACTACTTTTGTGTAATTAAAAATTTTCACGTATATTTAAGATATTTCTATCGTTGTATATGTTTACCTTGAAGGATGATGTGAGCACCATTGCCACCATCTCCTCCATTAGGTCCTCCAAATTCATTCTGAAATGTTTTTGAAAATGACGATCTTCCATCGCCACCTTTTCCAGCAATCAGTCGAAGTTCAAGTTCATCTTGAAAATCATTATCCTATATGAAATATTTCACATACATATATATACGATTTTATTTTGTCTTGTTTACTTACGAAATCAATAGATGCTTTTGGTTTACTTGGTGCTAATGGTTTTGGATTAATGAATGTTTTACTTGTTAAATATCTTACAAAAGTTCGAATCATTCTTTTTTCTTTTTCTTTGAAAATGATCTCAAAAAAGAAAAGCAAGATGATTTTTTTTTTTTTATATATATTCTTGTTGTTGTTCTGACAAGAAAAAAACAAACACAATATCATCACATATTACACTGTCAACCATAATTAGAAACAAACAACAAGAGTGTTTAAAAGAAAAACAACAACAAAAAACAACAAATTTGTTTAGTTTCATGTTCAGATAGATGTTTGACTAGGTTACGTAAACGGAATTATAAAGTTTGTGTTTTGTTTTTGTTCTAATGCATACGATATTCTCCATGATATTTTGTTTGCGTATTCTGTCCCTGAACAGTAAAATCAATATCAAAATCCAAATCACGATCATTTTTTGGATTTGGTCGTAAATTTAATTTACCAGTTAATTTTTCACCTTTATGCATCATAATATCTTCATCATCATGATCAAAATAAAATAATGTTTGTTTCCAATGTGTATAAGGTGCATCAGGACCAGTTGAAAATCCACAATATTTATGACATTTACTAAATTCAACTGAAAAATAAGCAACAAGTGCATGAATATAATCATTACGTATAGCATCAAGTGTAAAATTAGCTATAAATGATAAATCTTCAACACGAACTGTTGCTAAATCAAATTCTTTCACTAAACAATGTGTTGTCATCACTTGACGATTATCAACACTATCAACAAGTGGTTCTTTAATAGCTACTTTTCGAATACAACTCATATCAAAACCATAAACATTATACCTAAAAAATAAAGAAGATTTATAGTTCTTTTAAGATAAACATGTTAAAAAAAAAGATATATTTGTTTTGATAAAAACAATTATGCTTAACATATTCGCCTCGATATAATACATCGATAGATCACACAATCAGAAAATAGTTTGTGCTCATGGGTCTCTAGACGGAAGCTGTGACCGTTTTATTTAATTTTCGATCTAGCTTTAGATATTTTTCGAAAAATCAAATAAAGAAATCTTTGTCCACAGATAGGTCTCATGACTTTGGAAATACTCAGAAAGTTTCATTAAAAATCGAGTTTGCTTGAAAATTTAATATCTCGAGAAAAAAATATTCTCAGAGTCATCAGAACTATCTATGAACTGTGTTTTCGTTATTTGATTTGTCGCTAAATACCTTAAGCTAGACCGATGCTTGAGTAAAACAGTCATAACTTAGCTCCAAAGCCCCATAGACACGAACTCAAACAGTGGGTTTTTACTTCGGGTAATTTCCTTGTGACATCCCTGGTCACACTATAGTATACGGCAGGTTGTCAGATATAAAAAACTAAAGACTCTCGGAAAACTTATTCGCTCATCATATTTTGTGTTGTTATCTGCACTGATCGTATTGATCAAAAAGAAAATTTGGTGAATGAGTGCTAAGATAAAAAAAACTGAAATTCGTCATTTATTTTATCATCTTTAAATTATTACTTACTAAAATGATTCACGTCACAAAAGTTTGATGAACGAAAATGTTTTTTTAAAATCATTGATTTTTACGATTGATTACCCATGGAAGTATACAGTAATAGTCCTAAATCTTGTTTTCGATACACTTTCATTTCATATAGAAGTAGTCTGCTCTTCGAAATTCTCTTCCAATAGATTATTCTTGCACGTTCTGAATGTTTCTAGATATTTTCTTTTTAATTTTCTTATTACTTTTGATTATAACTCTAAAAACAAAATCCTTTTTTTTCTTCTTACATTCCTCGGAAGTTATTCTAGCCTAATGTCTCCCCCCCTAATAGGCAAAATATAGGCTCAAATATCTTCAATCATTTACGATCCTCCATCATAAATATTCTTATAGATCAGAAGAAAAAGCGAAGTTACGAGTGATAATTTTAAATATCACCTATGAATTTCTGTCATAAAAACAAAAGCCTAAATCTTAATTATTTGTTTTAAACAATACAATTCATTTTTCTAATTTTATATAGATACCAAAAGCAGTTTGATTGTCAAATTCAAAAAAAAGAAAAAGAGTCATTAATTCATTACTTACCACCAATTAATTTTTTCATCCCGATATTTCTTATCTTCAATTCCACATATAAAAAGTTGACATTTATCAGGAAATAATAAACCATGTTGTTTATTAAGCCATTTATCACGTGCATATAATATTGAATTAAGCATTGATTCATATAATAAACAATAACCCATCCATTCACTAACAATAATATCAACTTCAGTTATACCATCAGGTAATTCAACTTCTTCGATTTTGCCTCGAATGAGTGTTATAACTGAACTTAAATTATTACTTTCAATTATTTCTTGAGCATAACCAACAATTGATGACATATCAATACCAATGACACGTTTAGCACCTGCTTTAGCAGCGAACATACTTAAAATACCGGTACCACAACCTATTAGTTTTATTTTTTAATTTCAAATAAATTTAAAAAAAAATTTTTTTTTGTTAAATTTAAATACTTAGGACATAGCAAAAGTTGTCTTAGTTACGAATACAGATAAAAATAGTTTATTCAGAGAGAAGAAATTGTCTTTCAGAAATGGGAACTTTTTTGAATAGTTCTAATGATTCATTCAATGCGTGAATTGAACGTTTTTTAATACTCTTCTTTATTCAAAGAATTCATAAACTTGTTTACAGCACAATGTTGAATCACTTAGACTTTATTTGATTAAGTCGAATAACAAAAAACTGACATGATGTGAGCTTCAGAGAATTACTTAAGTAATAATTTGATAAACCTGTTTCTGTATGTCTTTTTTTGTTCTACCATCATCAATTTTCCTATACACTAATATCTATAGATGGCTACATATTAGAGATGACAAGGGAACAGAAGATACACATCGAAGGCAATATGTCATATATCATAACAAACAGCTCTCATCGAAAGTTTCTTTAAGCTTTTTATAAGGTACTAAAATACTTCCGCTACTACTTTTGCAATGTTTTAAGTATTTAAAATTAATTGATTTTAATTTACCTAAATCAAGAACAACTTTATCTTTAAATAAATGTCGATTATAGACCATTGCATTGCGATAAGTTAATGTTCGTACTTCATCTTTAAGCATTTCTTCATGAATACCACTAAAAATAAAAGAACAACTTATCACAAGCTTTCTTTTAAATAAGTTTTTTTCTTATTTACAAATGAGCATATGAATCAAAATAATAATCTTTTGATACACGATCTTCTGGAAAACATTTTTCACTACCATCGTTCATTTTTTCTGATTCACCATTATTTGTTGTTGTTGGTTTATTCACTGTTGCTAATGCTGTTTTAAGTATAGGTGATAATGGAACATTACCAGTATTATTTGTTGATACGGTGTTATCCATCTAAAATCTATAGATAGAAGATCAATTCAATCATGTTCTTCTTCTTTCGTATATAAACATACCAAAAAAAAAGAAAAATCACATTGTCTATGCAACAAACACCACACATACAAATACACAACAGATCGTTTTTTTAAAAAAAAAAAGGAAAATGTCAAACACAAGACACAAAATTCTTTTTTTTGTTTTCGTTAGACTAGCGACACGCACACGCACACACTGCAAAAAAAAGAGAAAAATGAAGAAAACGTACACACGCGCGAGTATTATTGCAGCTACTCAAAAAAAATGAGATCGCAAGAACAAGAGAAATAAACAGAGAAGGAACAAGAAAGAAAAACACGACACAGACACAAAAGTTTTATCGATATGTATGATGTTGAGAACCCCATGGATCATTATTAAATTCATTAAATTTACCACTTGTTGGACCATTCGGATAATGATGATGAGTATATGCATTCGTTGCTTGATCGTTGATACCAGTTGCCCAATTATTACCATCATATTTATTCGTTTGTTGTTGTTGTTGTTGTTGTTGCTGTTGCTGCTGTTGTTGTTGTTGTTGTTGAAATGCTTGAAGGAAAGCTTGCATCATATTTGGATTAAGCATTTGTTGTAAAAGTAATTGTTGTTGTTGTTGATCTGGATTATTCGAAGCTGTAGCATTAACAGTATTACCACCACTATGCATCATATTATTAGCTGTCCCATATTGAGAATACGATGGATAGGGATGCGTATTGGCTGGTGGGATCGAGCGAACATTATGAAAATTACGATCTAAATAGAAATGATCAAAATGTTAATGTTTGCATGAATATGTTTTTTTTTCTCAATTTATGAAATTTTTATGCATTAATTAAAGACTTTATCTTGTTTGATAGAACACGAAAGTATGCTGACCACAAAGTATAATAGTCTCAAATTCTATGTGTAATTAGAGACATTATTGGGTTCTAAATACCTTACTACTATAGGATTACTGAATTTAACAATATTCTTTTCGTTTTAATTGCAAGAGAACATATTCAACTATAGGACACTACTGTTCGACTCCACATTATAGTTACGGGTAGGTTTCGATGATACTAATTGAAGAGTTATGGTCGTTTTGATAAAGCCTTTTCTGAGGGCAAGCCATTTTCTAAAAGTGCAAAACGAAGAGTTTCGAGCTGAAAGTTTCAGCGAAAACAAATATGTATTTCTTGAGATATTTAATAACAGTGGTTTCCTATAGAATGACACACAATATGGAGAGAAAGACATGCTCGTTTTTCTTGAAAGCTTCAGGACATTTTAATGATTATCAAACGTACCTATAGGGATGATTTCAACTCGAAACTCTTCGTTTTGGATTTTTGCAATTGACTTGCACCCTGTAAAAATTTCACTAAAACAGCCGTGGGGCCGAAATCTTTTATGCTTTACTTAGTCTAGCTGGAACCTACTCCTAGCTTTAATGCGAAGCCCAAAATGGCGCCCAACAGTGGGCTATGTTGTCTCGTTAGCGAAACACGAAATATCAGTTTTATCAATCCTAATTGCTTATGATCCCCGTAGAACTTTGTCTGATTGGGTTCAAACTGTTACCACAATTACATACACGCATACTCCACAGGCAAAATCGACTACTTTCGTTTTTTGACTCTCTTTAGCGACAGATCTTCAATGCATGTTAAAACCAATTCGAAATCTATATCATTAGTGTGTGAGCAGAAACTCTTGTCACGCAAAGACCTACTTTTTGATCTTTTATGTTGCGATAATTCATGGGATCATAAGAGCACCCTGACCTCTTGCTAAAAATTTCTTAAGGACGACTAAATGAAATATTCTCTTCACCATTACTTCAAAATTTATTCATTTTCGCTGAAATTTTTCTCTGTGATAACCAGTATCGAGTTCGAGTACAGATTTGTTTTTTCTTTGAAAAATATTGAAATGTTAAACAATACGAGTCAAAATATTGAGAGTACCTCTCGAAAAAAAGCTTGATTTTGTATAATCTCTCAATATTCACTGATACAATATTTTTTCAAATAAAAAACTACACTCTGATTTGATTGGAATGTCAAGGAGAAAAATTTCGATTTTCAGAAAAATGTCAAATCTCTTATTTTTATACAATGTTTTCGGACGTTCTAATTTTCCATGTATAATTGATCATGTGCTAAAGAAGAAAAACTTAAGACATGATTTTTGCAATAAGTGGCTTCTTAAAGTCAGACGTGTAGTGCATTTGAATGTTTCTTAAGAGCTGAAAAAAAACTCGGCACCAAAAAAAAACATTTTCCGGTCGCCAAGACCTTAAGCTTACGAATAGCGATTGATCAAAGCAACGCTTTATATATAGGAGAAACATCGGAAGAATGACGTTTTTCGGAAATCAATTTTGTTTTTTTCAAGAGTTCATATTCATGCGCTCAAAACTAAGTAGATGTATATCCGGAAATGCGCTTTCAACTCTCCGGGTTCAAAATTGCATTTCCAACAGAGACATCTTAAACAAAGCATACCATTTATTTTAAAGGTCGTACTATTTTGGCAATCAAAAATCTTTGTTTTTTGTTAGGGCCATTGCCTTTAAAGATCGAACATTTCTTTTTTGTTTCAAACAAGATTATTCTGCTAGGTTTAGGTAGCTTTCACAATAACAAAAACATTTTTAGCTCGATCGTACACAGCATCCAGAATAACAACTTGTTGCTCTACGAATCAAAACCTGTGTACCATGCAAATTTCAAATTTTTCTGATAGGCCGTTAAACCAGAAACTCTCGAAAAGGAGAGACGGGAACACAGTGTGTATTTTTTGCAATGCAGGTGAACAGGTGACTTTCTTGCTCAAGTATGATTCAATAGGACACAGAAAAAAAAATTTTTTTGGGAAAAAATCTTTGAGGCGGGTCCCTCACTTTTGCAAGAGAATTTCTTTTTAGAATTTTTTTATGTCCTATACTATTTGACGCCGTTTCATGCGGTTGTTTTCAGAAATAATATTTTTTGAAAGCTAGAAAAACCTACTCTGTAGCTCAGGAGTGTTTCCGCTGACAGGAATCAGAGATAGAAGAATATTCTAGCAAAATTTGGAGGTCGGATGTTAGTAGATAGTTTTATTTTATGGAATTAACCGTTCAGATGACACTGTAGGAAAAAAAATATACTTAATTTGTCTTTCGAACAGTTTAGTTTTGTCTAAGATTAATTTTTGGGCAGCCAGTATTTTCAGTTTCTTCGAAGTATATTTCTTTATATTTAAATCTTGAACTAGTACAACTTTCATTTTTAACTTAATGTTCGCCTAGATGTACATTGTGGGAGGTACTCGGATATCTTTCTCATTTCCTGACGGAAGAAATCATTAAGATATATTACCTGCTTTTGAACGTTTGAATTGACTGTCACTCGGTTTGCCTTTTGGTTCAGCTGGTCCAACATGCACACTACATCTAAAAACAAATAAACAAATAAAAAAAAAACATGCATTCAATGGAATTCAATATTTTATACCCATTAATGAAATGATCACCGTATAAAGATGGAACAATAGATGATTCAAGAAAAGTAACAAAAGCAAAACTTCTTGATGGTCGAGGAATATAAACATCAGTTACTTCACCGAATCGTTTAAAATATTGATTAAGATCATCAGCAGTAACAATTTCTAAAAAAAAAAAAAAACGAAATTCTTTTCTTTTTTTTTTTTTTGAAATAATTTTGTGTTTTACCTGGAAGACGTGCTACAAACACTTTACGCGCACATTCAGGTTCATGCATACCAGGATTCTTGAAACAAAACAAAAAATTGATCGTTATTTTTAATCAGTAAATTTTACCTTTGAATCCGGAATTTTTAAGTCGCATGTACGTCCATCAATATGATGACGTTTATTAAGTGCATTTAATTGTGATTCATAATCTTTAAAACGAACAAAACCAAATCCGCGTGATTGACCTTGTGCATCACGTTTTATCTATAAGAATGATGTAACGATCTATATATAAATTTCTTTTTTTATCTTACCTCACAAAAGACAAGTTCACCAAATTGTTGAAAATAATTTCTAACATCTTCTTCATTCGAACGATAATTTATTCCAAGTACAATTAAATCTACACAACGTGATGGTTCAATACGTTGATTTGATGGTATATTATTAACAAATGTTGCACTAGGATCTATTTCCATATTTTGTTTTAATAATTCTACAATTTCAAACAAAAAAAAAAAAGAAAGTTAATATCATCTTGATTATAGAGAATAAAAAAGAATTAACCTTTTGATGCCATTTTGAAATGTACAAAATATTTATTTGAACAGCCATATACTGAAAGAAATTTAAAAAATACGAAAAAAAAATCAACAAAATAAGATGTCGGACATAGGAAATTTTACGGATAACAAAAACAAAATAAATAAACCAATCACTTTGACCGATCAAAGAGATATGAATGACTGACTGAACTTTGTTTACAAAAATGAAAAATTTTTATTCTTATATTATTTTTTGAAAAAAGCATAAATTATTTAAAATAAGTTTTTTCTTTAAACAATTCAGTAATTTTTATTTTATTTATTTTTTGACTTTACTTAAATCAATTGATTCATCAATACGTGACATCTATACGTTTAATTGATCATTTAATGAACCAATAAATAAAAAGCTGTATCATCGTAAGATATTTACAAAACAAAACAAGAAGTTTTCTCCAAGTCAACAAGTTTTTTTTTTTATGTTTATGTTAGAAACATTGTTGGGATCATTAGACAATTTAGGAAATAGAGTGTTACACTTTTAGTGATTGGTTGAGATAATGAATCATTCTTGAAATATCAGTTAAGAGAAATGACATTAGCGGGTACTATTAGTGAAATTACAGTACATTTTTTTAGGCTTTTTTTGCAAGGCACATTCTGTCATCGACATTTGGGAGCCTTTTGTATAGAAAAAAAGTTAATGAAAGAGTGCGGTAATTTTTGTAGAAAATCACGATTAAATTAATTTTAGTCATGTGTGAAGAAATGCGAGAATGAACATAATCGCTAAATGAACAGCGAAAAAATTGAGATTTAGACTAAATAATAAATTTTAGTGTTTTCTTTTTGTCATTTCTAATCAATATTTCACATCAGTGAATTTTTAGAGAAAGAAAATAATTTTCTGCTATTTTATAGGTGTATCACACTATAGTTATAACAACTATCGATGCGTTCAATATATTTTAAACATTAATTTCAGAAGCATTCTCTTTTTATTTTTGTTTTTTAGTTAATGCGGTAAGACAAAGAAAACATGCCAATACTCATTGGATATTCAAAAAGTTAAATTTATCTTTCGATAATATATAAAACATGATACTTATATCCCAAGAAATCTGAAGTTGGAAAGTATCTGCCATTATGCTCATCTTTAACTATTGAAAGATAATACACATTCTTTGTCTTACTTTCATCATGTTTAAATTTTACAATCCAGAGCCGAGCCGTACTCCTATTTTGTTAGACAATCTTAATGATAATCTTATAATAATCAAGTCATAATTGGCCGTTACTTTTAGAGTATGTGGCCATTGAATCAGAACTTAACCGAGACCGGGCCCAACCAGATGAGCTCTATTCTATCTAGTAATTTTATATGCTGTCACTATACAGTTGTAATATAAAAAATGACACAAGTTAAGCATAGGCCAACGTCTTTTTGTTTTTGTATTGAATGAATACTCGTATTTTAGTCCGGAGAACATTTCATTATATTATTATTAATTTAATACATAGTACTTTTTTTTTTATAATAGTTGATTTCATATAAAGTATTTTTTGTTCGAATTCTTTTCAGATTAATAATGTCTTTTGCTCTTCTTAGTCTTAACCGCCAATTGCTCTCACGAGCATTGAGCCGTACAGGTCCATTGGCAATAGCGTAAAAAAATTTCATCGAGTCTTTATATTCATATTTATTTATTTTAATTTAGCCAACAAAAAGCTACTTCAAGTACGGTAACACCAGATGTAGCAAGTTATCGAGCCAAAGCAGCCGAATGGGTTGCAGAAAATGAGAATAAATATAAACGACCTGTATCACCTCACATACAAATTTATCGGTAATTTTTTTCTTTGACTCTTGTTTTCTTTTCTATAAAATCAAATTTTTATTTAGATTTCCTTTTCAAGTATGGTCATCTGGTTTTCATCGTTTCACAGGTGTTTTATTAAATATAAGTAAGAAGAGCAAAAAAAAAATTTTTTTCCTTAAATAAAACTCTTATTTAAATATTCTTAGTGCTTTATACTGCTGGTCCACTTGCATTTTTGGCTACTGGTCATAGTGCTGAAGTTTTAAATTATATCTATGCAATGGATATACCAAGTTGGTTTATTCTTTCAGTGAAATTATGTATGGCATGGCCGTAAGTTATTTAAAAGAGGAATTACAATATCATTAAGAATGTGAGAGATTTGTGCATCGATGTCTAAAACCATCAATCCTAAAATTTTCGCGCTTTTCATTCAAAAGTTATGCTCGTTTTCATTTCAACGAATCAATCAAATTCTTTAATAAATTATATTGAAAGATAGAGAATTCAAATCGGAAGAAAACAATATAATTCAGTGTTGACGAACTTAAGTTTAATAAGATTAACATCTGTGAAATTTATTGTCATGGCACAACTCTAAAGCAAAATAAATTTGGCAATCGAAATTAGTACTAAAAGCTACACTGAATCAAATATATTTTAGAGATTTTTTTTCCTGCAAAAATCCGCCTACGATCTCTATGACTGTATTTTAGTAAAAGTTTGTTATGTGATTATCTTTTAGCAGGAAGATGAAATTTCTCTAACATATGTTTGATCTAACCTAGTATTTTGATGCTGATTCCGAATGTTGTGTTTATTTTGCTTTAGAATTGTGTCATGGAAGTGAAAACTACGGAAAATGTTTTTCTTTTGACTATTGAAAAATCATTATGGAAGCGTAGTAAATTCCATTTTGCTTCAAAGGTACCATTTTATAGAGAATAAAAAGTTACATAACACATAAAATTCACTTTAGAATTCTGTGATTCTGAATCCCACGATAAGAGATAGATTTTTATCTAATGGGCATTTAGACTCATCGAAAGAGTGATTTGGTTCAGTTTTTAATTCACTATATTTTAGCATAATTAATAAAAAAAAATTTTTCTGTGAAAAAACGAATAAACTCTATAATTATGTCTTATTACTATTATAAAACTTGATACACATCAAAGTATTTAAAGAAAATATTTAAAAATATAAAAAATTGTTGGCGCAATCTCAGCAGGAATGAAATTTGAAATACGATAGAGTTGGTGTCATTGAAAGAAAAAAGAGTCTATCAACATGTTTCGGTTTATGAATTACCGCCTACTGTTAATACCTGTCGATGAAAAAAGATATTAATCAACATATATCCCAATCAGTATGAAAGAAAGGTAAAGAGCAAATATCGTAAATTCAGTCATATTTCATACTACTGTTGCATTAGATTAGTTTGGTGTTTATACTTGTCATGGTCCATGAGGAGGCAATGGGTACACTATAAGATATATGTGGAGTTACTTAAGTGTCTTTCACGATTTTTTTAAGTGTCCTTGCTGATGTGAAGAGAGGTGGTAGAATATATAGCTAAGTAACAAAATCGTTTTCAACTTGAGTTCTAATTTTCTTCGTAGTATAACATGCAATCAATTTCAATAATATCTCATGTGATAGCGCATCATAGACGAACCTTACCGAATGAAGTGATCAAATAAAAACTTTTTTTTTATTATCCGTAAGTTCATAGTACACTTTAATCACCAACGTAATATGAAGCCATCTTGAATAGAGTCACTGCCATCTGAATAGACCTAAGTGATGATATTGACATCATCACACAAGGTAGATTTAATAATATATTTGTGAATTTTTTCAAAAGAATTTTCGTATTTTTCGAAAAATAGTAGACAATTACCAAGCCAGTGACTCATAAAGATACAATATTGGTAAAAAATCACTATTGACTAACTTTCGAAAGAAAAGGGATTATAAGATAAAATTTTGGTGTTGGTAGTTTCAGACATCGATGCGTTGAATGCATAAAAAACGAAAAAAGAAATNGAAAAATCTCGACTAGTAGAATTATAAGAAAAGAAAACATGCATTGTTCGAATTTAGAGTTCTCATTTATGGGAGACATCGTTGCTTCTTTTATTTTTCATTTTTACATCTTTTTGTGTTACAATTCATTTTTCGACATTTTTCCCTTTCGATATTTTTTCTTTCGACATTTTTCTTTCGACATTTTTACCCTATTTTTTTTTCTTTCGACATTTTTCCTTTCGACATTTCTACTGCACACCCTTTATTGATAACCCCTAACATTAACAAAACAACGATTAAATGAGTATTTTTAACCCTAATACAGAAGTATAAGCATTTTTTGATCCTTAACACTACTATTAAGTCGAAATCTCTGAAACGAAAATAAAAGCAAAAAGAAAAACAAAGATATTTTATTATAACTCGAAATACCACGATGACGTAATTTATTTTCTTTCTTGAAAAATTATTTGTCATGAAATAAAAAAAATAAAACAAAAGAAGAAAAGAAAAAAAAAGAGAAAGTTTATACAATTATAAATTTTCATCCGATCTAAATGACGGATTCTGTTCGCCATGTATATGAACATTATAACAATCATTTTTTATTGTTGCTGATATTGTCGGTAAATTAATAGATTGTTGCTGTTGTTGATTAACTACTGATGCAGATGTTGTGGCAAGTGATACTATGGAATTATTATTATTTACATTTGATGGACGAGGACGATTTATTGTTGATGGCAATGATACACGATATGCAGCAAGTATATCGAGATTACATAATGGACAATGACGATGATTAAGTAACCATGGATCAACACAATGATGATGAAATGTGTGACCACAAACTAGAAAAAGAATTTAAATAAAATTTTTATTTTTATTTTTATATTTACCTAATTGTCGTATTGTATCACCAGTTTTAATTGTATCTAAACATATAACACATGATTCTTCTGTTGGAGGATTTTCAGTAACATTAATTAATGGAATTTTTGTTAAAGCTTTTTTAGCTGCATTTGATAAGCGATTTTGTAAACGATCTTTAGCTGTACGTACACGATGTCGTTGACAATAGTAAAATATAAGCCATGATACACATAATGATATAAGTATACATATTGATATAGCTATAAATATTGTTGCAGATTGTGAACTAAACCATAAATTATCATTATTATAATTATCATAATCGATATTTATTGGTTGTAATGTTATGTTTAATTGTGTACGAGTATTTTTAGCTATATTAAATAATATAGAACCAATTGATCGTTGAACATAAACAGATAATGTGTCTGAATTATTTTGTAACATATTATATAATTCTGAACCCGAATGAAATGGATCATAAATAATGACCGCTGAAAAGAAAAACAGACAAGGAAATTTTTTTATGTTTTTCTTTTGATTTTAGAATAGTTTACCTGATGCTCCATATTGTTTAGCACGTGTTATTTTAACACTAAATGTACAATTACCACCTCGATGAATAATAGCAATACCATTTGAAATATTTATTGGATTAGTTGGTTGTTCACATGCATCAAAATTACCATTTATATCAGTTAATATAAATGCTTTACCATGACGAACTGCTGATTGACCACCTTTAGTTGATACAAAACCATTTGTTTGAGTTTCTTCAGTTTTATTTGTAAAATTTGAATCTGATAAATAATATTCATAAGTTATCATTGTTGTTATATAACATTGAATATATTTTGGTAAAAGAATAATACACAATAGAAAGTAAATTGATATATTTAACGATAATAATCGTTGAGAATTTTTCATTTTTAAATAACTTTTTTTCTTTACCGGGATAATGAAAAGATAGATGAATTTTTTTTTAATTTATTCTTTCTAGAAAGAAATATCGAAAAGTTAACGTATAATATTATTATTATGTATGTATTTGTTGAATTTATCGATTTGTTATACTTTGAAGATATTAATATTACTTTTAATAGGATTCAAAAATGTTCGAACATCTCTGTCAAATGTTTACTAATTGTCGAATAGCTTTTGAGCCGGGATAGATATGCATCATTACAATGAAAAAGCGCTCGGCCTAATAGCTTATTATTGTCGAGATACTGTACTTTTTACCGTATAGAAATACCAGAAAAACTGCATTTCGACTTGAAATGTAGCATAGAGACAGGTCTTAGTGAGAATAGTTTATAATCAAAGTTTCAGATTCTTTTATTATACCTATTCTAAAATAAGAACACCGGAATTTACCGTTGAATATGAACAGCATGAAAAACATACTTTTATTATATTTGTATCTTAGGATAGAAGTAATCAAAAGATGCAAAAATTTTTACAATAAACTATTCTCATTAAGATCTATTTATATGTAAAGTTTCAAGTCGAAATTCGAAAGTAAGCTTTCCTATACAGTAAAAAAAAGCAGTATCTCAGCAGTAATAAGCTACTGACCCAAACTCTATTCATGACATTCATAGGTTATTCGAACCTGCATGATGCACATAATCCTGAATTCAAAGCAATTTGACATTTCGAAAACATCCCCTTACTATTTTTTTTTGAAAGTTTTACCTATTGTCTTATTTATCAAAATAAGCAATAAAATATTCGAGTTATTCATTCATGTTTTTACAAGCAACATGTACTTTGCCACTTTGTTTTCTTCAATTGTAATTTCTTAGACATAATCAAATTTGCATTTTGTTCTATATGAAGATTTTTGGTTCAATATTCAAAACAAGGTTTATAGAAACGCAATTCATCAAATTTGATTACGGATGAGAAATCGTAAGAAAAAATAACAAGGAATAAAATACATCTTGCTTATGAAAATATGAATGAATAAATAGAAAAATTTATTATTGCTTTTTATCAGAGACTAGATGCAAGTACTTTAAGTACTTTCTTCCGATAGATCTTACACTTTCCCGCTATTTCCTAAGTTTGCAACCATAGCTCTTATTCGACATGTGTACGAGTGCCATCAGCAACTACAAAAAGGTACAATTCGTTTTTTTTTTTTGACCTAAATTTTTGTTCAACAGAAAAACAGAAGTATTCTTGTCATAAGCAAATCTAAATTAACAAACAAATTGTAACGATTTTTAGGTGCTGTTGCAACATGTCGGATGAGGTCTATGGTTGAATACCTCTATAGTAGAATGAAAAACATATAGTAGCAAACAGTAAAAAAAAAGTACTTGCGTCCAGTCTCTGGTTTTAATAAACAAACAAGAGATAAATCTTTCAAAAGACTAAGAGCTTTATTCAACTTTTGACCTTAATGATCATTTGTATGAATAAAAATAATTTACACGATGTTATTCTCTATATATAACCTACATGTCTTGCTATCGTTAAACAAAGATTATTCAGTTCTACGCAATACATTTCTATAATTATGTTATTATTTTAAATAATAACTCAAAATTATTCTAACAAATTACACAAATGTAAATATTTTCAGTTATGGATTTAATCTCGATTTCAAATATAAATGAATCTCTATAAGGCTCAGAAGCATCTAAAAGCATTTCTTTCATTGAACATCAATGTTTAGAAAACCCGATGATAGATCAAGATTCATTTATAAAGATCTATTCATAGCAAAAAAAAATGAAGGCCAACAGTGTTTAACAATTACAAATGTTTTTTTTTTATTGTAAAATTTCAAGCATCTACTGTCAAAAAACAGTCCATAGCTTTCATTCGAATAAAAACTCGATTATTTATCTTCTTTTTCTGTTTACTAAAACTCTTAAATTCAAAAAATAAAGCATAAACATCTACCTGATATATGTGTAATGCCAATAGTTTTTTGAAAAAGTTTCTCAATGTCAATTCTTCGTTCTTAATTAATTCCTATTGCAATCACGTTCCTATGTAATCTACAAACATTCAGTTATGTGAATGTTAATTAATCAGATGACATAGTCTACATGTATCAGTTTTTTTTTTTTTTGTATCATGTTGTTCGACATTCAAAGCGAAAATATTTGTTGCCAAGTACTATTTATAATAATATCGTCTGTCAACAATCCTAAGAGAAAAATGCGCTTTAATTTCCTTTTTCTCTGCGCTTCATTCTCTTCTTTTTTTTTCTTCTTCTTTCTCTCTTATCTTAAATGCATAGGAAGTTCGGGAAGAAAACTCATCATTATAAAGAAAAAAAAAAAAAAAAAGAAACTGTAATGTCTTATGCTCATTAGTAATTTCTTTTTATTAGAAGCACACGAGTGTAAAAGAATGTTGACGATCAAGTAATCTTTGTTAGATAATAACCGATAATGATGCCGGTATTAATATTCCACATTGAGTTAAATATAAAAGACAGGAATAAAAAAAAAGAAAAAAAAAAAGAATGATGCCAAGTTAATTGTACTTTTAAACCTTGACCGTTGGAAAAAAAAAGTATATAGATTTTGATTTATAGGTTTTTATTACAGACAAATGAATGTTCTAGATGAAAAGAATAAAAAACTATTCATTAACATATGCATTAAATAATATAAGAAAATCTATTGTAAAAAAAAAAACACACACACGTACAAACCAAAAGATACTATAGTAATAACTTCATCCTACTGTACTTAAATGAAAGTGATAAAATTTTAAACACATAGATATTCTCGTTTAATCCAAATATTTACGATAGATATAATTGTTCGTATTCTCTATATAATGCTAAGCATTCATTAGATTTAATTAATTTCGATCTCAATAAACAGACGCCCTTCATTTAGTTCACACACATATACATACAATACTTTTACCTTAACCCCATTTTTGACAAATACAAAAAAAAAGAAAATACATCTCCTTCGATCAAAACAAGTAGGAAAAAAAAGAAACATTCTGCTTCTTTTTCAAAGAAGGACTGCTGTTTTACTCCTATATTGCAAAAGGACAATGAAAAAAAGTATTTTTTTTAAGCATACGCAGGCGCAAAAAGAAAAAAAGAACCCCCTAAAGTCGTCGGTTTACTGAAAGAAAAAAATATTGTCACTATGACGTTATTTTCATCAAGGTAAAAATATATACATGCACCAATGCCATAAGAACTATTAGACTGTAAATATGGAACTTTTGTTTTCTATCAAGGTTGTCTTCGAATCAATGAAATTTAATGCTAAACAATGGTTATTAAACATTTGAAAAAAGAAAGAAAACTCTACTAACATGAATATAGATAATTAAATCAAGTGTCAATTGCATATATACGAAATGAAAATGACTTCATAAAAAGTAATAAACTTACCTTTAATGTTATTCTGTTGTTGGTTTCCTATGAATTGACACCAAACATTACTCTCTGATACTCATATGTTATAGCGAATACTTCAGTTCTTTTTTGGCATGTAAAAGGAAAAGCGAGTAAAGAAAAAGAAAAAAAGAAAAAAATAGTGACAACAAACGTATGTGAATGCATGTGTATGGTCGATTTCTTTTTTTCTTTAGAAGTTTATAGTTACTACTGCAATGTGTCCTTTCACATTCACATAATGTGATTTTTACTCAAACATCGGCCGTTGTCTCGTCGTAGTCGTCGTCGTGTTTTTTCTTATCATCTTCGAGAAGAAAAATCATTTTTCTTTTTCTTCGGGCCCATAAAAATGATAGAAAAAAGACGACACAATTCAATTGAACAAAAAACAGTTGCTCTATCTCATCATGATAGCTCACTCAGATAATTGAAATCGATTATCTAATAGTATGTATAGTCAATGCTTATTGGTGTCTCGATTCATTATTACTGACAACGACAGCGATGTCGTTCAATGCATATTCGTTAAAAGTATTTTAATGATGATATACGATTATTTTCAATTAAAGATATATGTCTGTCAATTTTCTAAATATCACCATTTAGGTATATTTTTGGAAAAAAGAAAAATAAAGAACAACTAATCATATAAGCAAACTTATTGAATAATAATTTTAAATCGAGATTTTGAGTTCACACTTGACTGATTTACCTTTATTTTCTGATAGTCAAATAATATAACTAAGCAATTACATATATATATATAGATTGATGAAATCAGATAGTAAAATTTATTGACAACTAGGTCGAATATGTATCTTCACTATTGCATAACATGGATTGTCTTTTTTTAAAGATTTGTTTTATTGACCGATTGAGCTTAACAAAGAATTTCATAATTCTAGGTAAAGGCTATTAGTCGTTGACACAAGTATTGTTTTTTTTCCAATAGTTCGAAGCTTTTCGATGACATTTTCTTTATAAGCTGTGATATATATATATATCTTTATATATATATGTATGTGCTTGTTACAAAATCTAGCTTATGATGCAGACAACACATCGTCTGTCTGGACGATGGATGTTATTGAAAAAAAAAGAAAGAAAGAAAGAGAAAAATAAATCAGATCATTTATCAAATGCTATTGTTTGAACGGATGGCTACTCAATCAATGAAACAAAAGGGTGACCGTTACTACTTATTATAATATAAAAAAAGAAAGAAAAGAATAGATATATCTTTTTACCAATGATCTTATTTTGATGAATTGATTAAGACACGCACCGTACACCGATTAAACCATCGTGTCATCTAGACAAAAAGAAAAAGAAAAGATTACCAGCTGCTGATTTTCAATCAAGTTCATCGATCATCATCAACGATCCAGTTCGTGTTAATACGAACTCTTCCATTATTTACTTGAAGTCTATATAACACGTCAACAACATTAGATACAGATTGCTTGTGTCGTCCCGTCAATCTGCAAATGATTACTAATTTCCTGCATATGTATATTTTTTCTATATACTGAATCTA